CTTGTCAATTATGACTGCTTTGGTAAATCTACTTTGTGTGATTTTGACGAATACTAACAACGGCCCAACTAAATTCCTCTCTATTCTTCAAAATTGTTTGAGATTATTCTTTAAGAAAATAGACTTGAAAATCAATAGTCAATTGTTTCAAAGGAATTTCCCGTATAGAATGTGAAGTGCTATTCTAGCCATCGGCTTTTCCCTGACCCGTCCAAGACGCAACACTAGAATCAACAAGATAGCACATTCGTTTTCAGCTTCAGCGGTAAACCACGTACATGACACTGTTCCGGTGATTTGGAAAGATAGTGATGGACATTGAAAACATCCGCGATAAGAGCAGTAAAAACAGCGGCTGCTAAAATCGACGTGCGGGTGCAAGCGTGGCACTCAAGTTTTAGCTGGAATACTAATAAGTGAAGCTTTGCGCTGAAAGCAACACATTAGATGCAAGCGCGGTATTGAGTGAGTAACTAAACCATGTCTACCAATGTCTCTAATCAATGAGGGGCACAATTGTGGGTCCACTTAAAGGGACGAAGCAATGAACAACAGAACTGAGATTGTTGGCAATGGTTTTCATATTTCAGTGACAAGCCATTGCTTGATCTTGTTCCACGGTTGGATGGATTATACGAAACGAAATCCGCAAACGACCCAAGGCAACTTAATCAAAGCTGTTCAACAGCTTAGTTATCAGTTCCCATTCTTTAAGGAAAAAATGTGAAAAGGCATGTTGCGTGGTAGAACTTCTACCTTCATCCCACAGACTCGCATCTTTGGGCTTCCCTCAATGAGGGTTTATCAATGCCCGATTTCCCAAGATCGTGGCTGTAGTCTTTTTAATTGTCATTAGCACTTAATAAAAGGTTGTGCACGAAAAAAGTGCAAAATGCATCGCTTTTGAATAGAACGCAAATCTTGCTCATTATTATTATTCAGGATAAGGAACAAATAAAGAAAGTTGAATGTTCATAACTAAAAAATTCTATTGTGTGACATTTCGTTCACACCTTTAGTACAGTTCGAGAATTCAGTAATTTGCCGCAAACTCTCCGCGATTGGCTAGGAGAAAAGCTTAACAAGACTCGTTCATATCTGCCCACCAAAAACCTTGAACTGAGGGTAGTTTGGTGATTGGCCGAGCCTCTCACATGTTTCAACACATCTGTAGGTCCCAAGTCTGCAACGGGCTGAAGAGATTGCCCGTGAAACACAGCCACCTGAAGCAGACGATTGAAGAAAGTGCTGATTAGCGTTGTTTAAAAATGCCATCCGGACGGCATGGGTTGTTCGGACGGCTACTGGAATAAACCTGAAAAAACTGGATCCTCACCTCCTCTCGACGATTTGATTTTAATCCGAGGGCAAACTGGCCTTGAACACGCCGTCATAAGTTGTATCAGCTCCAACAGCGGCCAAATCACGATCTCTGTGAGACTGGCTTGCCACCCTCGAATTACTCTGCAGATTTTTTATCAGCTGGAAAATGGTTCGAACTGATTGGTCAGTCTTTGTTTTAGGGAGGTTTTGTAAACAATCGGTGGGCTTAGTGCTGGGCAACGTTTCGCTTTTGACACAAAAGCTTCGTGAGGCCAAGTGAACAAAATGCTACGTTTTAAGGCCCGGATTGATTTCTTAGCTTTCCCAGATAGACAATCCATTTCACCACCAAACGTTTGTTTGGTATCCGCGACCGTGCATGTTGTCTCAACCACGATCTTCAGTTTGCAATTTCCCCTGGAGATTTCGAATTGATTGATACAAGAGTGACGGAAATAAAATCAACTCAAGGTGAACAGTGCAAAGACAAAGAGATAAGTAAGTCTGAAAAATTGCTTTCCAAGACTCGCCATTGCAGTCAACCAAGAAAAAAGAGTAAGCCATCCGCTAACTATTGCAGCGTAGTCAAGGTATCACATAGACCCTCAAGTGACGAAGAACGTTGCCATTTAGAGAAGGGATTATACGTAGCCTCCAAGACCCAACAATGAGTGGATGAGGACAACAGTCATCTATTAGATGGTTGATGAATGTGGCCAACATCGAGGTAGCATTCTTAAAGAAAAAATCAAGCTCACTATTGGTGCGGTTGAAAGATCGTCTTGCGGTTGATACAACCAGCGAGTGTGTATACAAAATAAAACGCAACGAATGCACAAGTGGGTATATAGGACAGATGGCCAGTGAATTGTACATCACAATCAATGAGCACAATCGGTGCCTTACCAGACCATCGAGAAACGTAGATGAATATCAGTCGATAGTTAAAGGTTCGGCAGGGCGTGCACTGGAACTGATAGATATGGAAAATGTAGACATTTTGAAAAGGGAAACAAGATTCAGACCACAGCGACTGGTGAGTGGGACGGTGATAATCGCCACGCGTGGATAGATTAGAGATCATAGAACTGACAAGCGTGTCGAGAGTTGTTTTAGATCAGCCTAGGTGACACGAGGCTCTGTGTACTTACCAGTGAAGTGGTCTTGGTCCAAAAGTGCAAATCTCAAGCAGAGTATTGCTGACTGCTCTGTGCTCCTATGTGGAATGAATGGACATATTTAATTGTCTCGACTTCACTAGTGACTGGCGAAATGTCTGATGAGCTGCCACGGATATCTTTGCACGAAGGAAATTCATTGGACGATGGTTTAAACTTCGACTCGCCGGAATTTAAACTGGAGTCCCCTAGCATTGCATCGGACAGACGCACGTTCGCTCAAATTCCCGGACTTTGTTGAACTCTATCAGAGTTTATATTCCGATGACTTTGGGTGACTTAGCGACTGCAAGGTTGAAAAAATGATGTAGATTTTTTACCGGTGGGAGCTACTTATTACTCGTGTATGGCTTAAGGTCCATGCATAATGCCGAATAGGTTCGGCGAATTTTTCACTCAGTAGGACGGATTAAAATTGGCAAACAATCAGAACCATTAGGTTGAGAAAAAGTTTTGCCACTGTACTGCCGATATGGCTTAATGGCTAGAGCGCGAATTTACTGACTGGAAAGTCCGTGGTTCGAACCCGACCTCTGCATCTCGACTTCCCATGTCTGGACTTGAACACTCTGGCAGTATCCCAGCCCTCATGCTTTCTACGGTTGGCATAAGAGCTAGACATCAAAAGGGTGTCATAGCTGAACGATTCTTTGAAAATTGTTTCACTTTATGAAGCTTGCCTCCCAGCACAAACGTTTGAGCAGATTGATCGCCTCAGTGCGAGTGTCTGGTTCTCTGGAGCACATTTGAGGCGAAGGCACGTTTGTGCTGCTTGTTCCACTTTATGAAGCTTGCTGCCCAGCACAAACTTTTGAGCAGATTGATCGCCTCAGTGCGATTGTCTGGTTCTCTGGAATACATTTGAGGCGAAGGCACGTTTGTGCTGCAATGGACAGTAGCTGATACATTTTACGCACTGTTTGGTCCAGTCACTATGGCATACGGAGATAAAAACACTCAAATTGGGAAATCCCTTTTCTTTAAACTCACAAACAAATAGAATTTTTGAAGGGATTGTGTTAAAAACCGGCGGTGCGTGATCAGGCTATTCATTATCCTTTGTCACGATTAAAAAACATCAAATATCGTTTAGTCTAGGTTAGCTTTTGAATGTGAATTTCTGCCGTTTGTCTAATTTTTTTCCTGAAATTTGTCGGGCGTAGAATAGTGTCCATGTCGACCCAAGTTTCTCGTAGCTTGGGGTTTGAAAATAAGATGGGATGTTCTTTGTAAACGGTAAAATGAGGCCCAAAAGAATGTGAATGAACTGAATGCGAGTTTGGCTAATCACCTAAAATGGCGATAATTATTATGAACGGATAATAATAATAACAATAGAGAGAGGGACAGTAGACCAAACAGCACAAAATTTTTAAAGAAAACGTGATTATGTTCAAGTTGTGGTAAGATTGACCACCTAAATATTTAGCGCTGTTAGATAGAGACCTTTCCAATATCTGCTGGCTGTTAACCTAACTGCTAATAGGGTGATTTAGTGGATATATGGGTTTATGAAAACCGAGAAGCTGGGACACATAATTTTCACAGACGAAGCCATTCGCTGAAAAATTAAATGACCTATAAACAGCCGCCTCTTCAAGAAAAACACATTTCTAAGTCTTCTGTCTGGTAAAAGTTTAAATTGCAGCCAAAGTGGAAGTAGCTGTCCTTCAGCTACCGTAGTACATTAGTCGTTTCTTTCAACAAAGCATCGTTTTGGTTAATCATTTTCACAGGCGTTTACAGAGGCTAAGTATTTTGACCCAACTGTCATTTTCGACGAATGCACGCTCAACTTCAACAATTAATGGAAAAGGTTTTCTACCTGAGCTTCTGTGACTGCTAGCTAATTATTTTCTTCTTTGAGTTTTCCGAGGAGCCGTAACATTAGCCTCACTCGTGTAGAAATTTTCATATCCTAAGTTCTAATCCATTCTTCAACATACTAGCCAGATTTTTTTATTTCAAGTGTCTTTCATTTGGGATGCATTGGTTGAGAAATTAAAGGTTTTATCTAGGAATACAAGGGTAGGTCACGTGACACAGTTCTTCAAATACACCAAGATTTATGAAGGATTCATTCGTACACATGAAGTTTTCCGGATGGACAATCAGGCTACAGGTTTTTTTGTTTCGACTGGTGACAAGCTTGCACTTATGTAGGTTTCATCATGATCACTGATCTCCCTGCAGCTGTTAGATTTGATTCATTATATGAATAAGCTTTTTTAACCGAATCAACTGCCTCTAGATCTAGGATCTCTCCAAAGAAGGGACGGTCGTACGTTCTGATAAGTACCATTACCAACACCAGTATAGCGGAAACGGCGCTTCACCGAAAAGTCAAGATCGTTTGGCAGAAAGAGCACGCAAATAGGGTTCCACGTAGCATTCCGAATTTGGAGAGACAAAGTGGAAGTACTATGTTAGACAATGCCAGCTGTTTCCATCCTCTTAAGGGTCATATCGTGCAACAATTCATTTAAATAGGTCACTCACCCACTTTGTATCTCTCTTTCGCCAGTGGTATTTCTAGGCGAAACTCTTGGACTTCAGTGATATCTATGAACCCGCTGCCGGAATATGGACGTACAGCGTCAGAGTTGACCACGACCTGTAGCTTAAGAGATCAGGTAGACAGCTTTGAGAAAGTGAATTCCAAGGGTTGTAATGCATGTTCTCTGATTTGAAAAGGTCCCAGTATCGGCTGCAATAACCTGAAAGCCACGGCCTATTTCTTCATTGTCGTACATGATAGTCCTTCACTTAAAAGAGGTCAAAATAGGGGTGCTATTTTAAGTCTATATTTTGGTATTTATGAGTAAATTGGGGCACGTAGGATGTTTCGATCGAGATAACAAAACGTGTTCTATTGTCAAGTACATCTGACAATATGAGAAGTCCCAGAATGGCTGCATACGTAAATTTCCTCGTTGAAATCGGTTGCGATGCCCTTGAAATTTAATTGCTGTGGGAGGCATTCGTGTAATGTTCTACGACAGTAATCTAAAGCCAATTTCTCCGTCCAAAAAAGATGAACTCTATGAGCGAGTGCTCTGTTATTTTCACGTTTTGTAAGGAGAGGGCACGACAGTATTTTGAAAACTTTCTTCCACGTTATTGTCACAATTAAAAGACAGGTATATGTACCGGAGTTTGCTTGCAAGTTAGGCAAACTTATTAACTTTTGAGGGACGCGATTTCCAATTAGGCTATATTGGGTTATCTGCAAAACTTATGCGATTTTGCTGATGGAAACATTCAACCGCTAAAGAGGTATTCATAAATTTCATATTGAATAGGTTTACTGTAGATTAAGTTATATATATTCGTCATATTGCTGACAGAAGCATAATCTTTTTTCTCAAGTCAGCTGCCATGTCACCTTTGTCGGCATATGGTCATATAACCGAAAATACCTAGCATAGTAAACTCCAAGTCCCTTTTGTCTGTGAAAAGCAAGTTGTTAACAACTCAAAAAGAGGGTATTGACCGAAATGGAGTGAAAACTCATGCATTTATATGAAGTTTCTTAAGGTTATCCGTAAAAAATGACCCGGTAATTCGTAACCCTTGAGGAAATCGACGTATAGCGCTGAAATAGTTTACTGGTGCCGGTTTTCATTGATTACTTACCATCTTCAGGTTGGCCAATGGCTTGCAGCAGACCTCTGCACGTTCGTCTTCCGATCCTATTGCATCAAGCCTACTTAGACATCAAGGGATTTTGTTTAGCACTACTTTCTGCTCAGCACAAGCCTCCTGCGGCTCTTTCGTGCCGCATTTGATTCACCGTTTTGATCACTGCTGACCGACAAACCCTATTCGGATACCCGTCACTCACATTTGTGTTGGATTTAATGGAATTTTGGGAAAGTGCAGTTAGTAGTTGTTCATTTTTTAATCCCGGACAGTATTTGAATGTCTGAAAAAATGGACGAACCGCCAGTATGCCATAACGCAACGGCTTTTCTAACAACTCTCCCTCAACAGCAACTCCCTGTTTCCGCATTGTCCCTTGGGGATACAACAATAACCGATAGGTTGTTCGGTTATGATGCAATAATTCCTCATCTCTGTCGGTTGTTTCAAAACAAAAACAAATCCACGATGCGATTGTGTTTGATCCCATTCAACCGTTGTTCAGCCAAACAAAGCTGACAAGTACGATAAAATCTAATGCGCATGCGATAAGCGCGTGTGAGTGTAGCCAACAGTGTTCAGTGCTGGTCCAACAATTAGACCGTGAAGCATCCACAGTGTGTGGGCATGGCGATAACGGGTGCTGGGTGATTAGAGTGTGTGGAATCAGCCCTATAAAAAAAGAGATGTACAAAACAAGCAATTATCGCCTAGAGACGGTTAAACACACACATTGATGTACATAACAATTGCTTGTTTTCGCATGCTAATTTCTCGTCAGAATGACACTGGTAGACGCATTCAAACTTTCTAAATACTAGTTATTAACCAATAGAGATTGGGGGGTAATAAACAAGAATGTGGAAACTAGGGCACATGCCTCGTTGATGCGTGAACACAATCAGTGACATATTTTATTATTTTCGTCAGAACAAAGACAAGCTCATCTATTTTACTACAATTATCTAGGTTTAGATGAAACCGTCTGTAGAGGAGAACTTGAGTTAGCTCAGTGGTTGAGGCGCGTCCATACTGACCGAACCCAACATCTGAGCTTCGATTTCACCTGTCCACACCTGAACAACCTGGCTGTACTACTCGTGCTACCTCGTACTACTATTGGGTGGTATGCAGGCAGGGCACCGAAAGGGTGTTACAGCTGAACGATTATTATCATTCTTATCATTAATTAAATACAGAGAGCGTTGCTCACTAGGTGGTTCACTTGGAAAAGTTTATGTACCAGGTGTTCATATCCTATTTACTGACAGTAACGTATGCGAGCCTAAAACGCGAGGGCCCTTGTTCAAAAGTTGAAGAAGAGGTGCTAAAGTCTTAAGGGCAGAAGAATTGGGCCATGAAGGAAACACACTGAGAGTTTATTGTTTGTTCCCTGAAAACTGTTTTAAGGAGACCAAAGGCGGCTTGGCCAAAAAGTACTTGCTTGTTTATAACGGCGAAGTTTGACTAGTTCCCATAAAGGAAACTACTCACAAGGTTGCTGAAAACTCTTCGACAGCCCACGACCGGTTTTTTCATTCTTGGGGCTCATCAGGTAGGCGTAGTCGCTGAGTTTCCGTCAGCTTTATGTTCTACTTGAACTTTACCTGAGTTTCCGTAGCTTTATGTTCTACTTGAACTTTACCTAATTTGTTAGCTAGGAAAGCCCCGAATTTTTGTGGAAAAATAACAGAAAAACCTTTATCAATAGGCTATGGCTACGCAGTTTTCTGGAGCCTGATTACATGGTTTGTTGCATTCAAACTGGCAGTGAGAGTATCGCCGATCATGTTGTTAAAGGATTTTCAGGGCATCAAAGAGGAATCGGTGTCTGTTTAACCTGGCTGCAGCGGGAACAATTCATTAATTCATCCAGCCCCGTTATGTCCTTACAAGCTGTGCGTCAGCTCCTCTACCCTCTGACTTGCTGAGCGAAAATTCACGCACATTATTTTGAGGTTCTCTGCTACGTTCGATAAATATATGTCCACCTTACGTTGTCTCTTTATTGCTGCAATTAGAACAGCACTTTACCTACACAGTAGTTGTAATTTGTAGTTAAGTTTAAGGTAGGAAAACTACTGCTTGTAGGGTAGGATCAAAGTTAAATTTAAGGTATGAACTGCTACATTGTATTGAATAACATTTAGCTAACGTTTCACTACATTCAAAAGAGATCCAATTTTTTAGATTACAGAAGAAATCACGGAACCTGAGAACGCGGATTAGGGAGGATCAGTTTAGGACATTGATAAATGGTTCATCTGATCTGATAGGCTCTGTAAATTAGGTGAACTTCTCGAGGAAATTTAGTTCTTTTCTCTAGACCGTTTTGGCTACTTATTTTCAGTTTGTCTGATCCGACAAGTATGTATGTGTTTCAACTGTTCCAACGTCTCACTGGAGTCAGCAGCACAAACCTGTTTGCGGTCAAGTATATTGACATTTTGGCCCAGCTGACTGACAAAAACTTAATATTTGTGCAAAATTCAGTACCAGTCGTGAAACGTTTATTATTGATAGGTACGCAACTCACAAAAAACAGTGGCACATCACATGCTCTCAACGAATCTTTGAAACCTAAACTCGAGGATGAAAAGCAATTTTGCCAGTAAAGAACGCATTATTTTCCTAGTTGTGCACGTGGCTCTCATCTTTTTTGTGTGTAAAATATTTACATATCAGGTGATAAAGGGGAGAAACCGATAATATGACTCAAATTTGGGGTGTCCGAGTTAATAACACGAAATTCTTTAAAGTAGAGAATGTAAAAGGAAGACATTCATCTTTCGTTCTAACTAATAATGATAGTGGACCTGAGTTGTGGGCAGTCAATATTGTCTCTCAGCAATCCCCAGATGAGACAGTTAGAACCTGTCGATTGCTTACGCCGAAGAAACGAATCAATGCTTCACATCAACTGTGAACTGTCAAATTTCCTGTCATCGTGTCGAAGAATATATCTCCCATCAGTCGTTCTGTTCACCACCGACAGAGCGCTAAAATGGTTTGAAACGTGATTTATCAAAGGGTATGTGAAAGCAATAAAATGTTAATAAAAGACTAGATAGAGTTTGCTGTCGAAACCCCCTTGTGGTCACACCCCGTTCTTGATTTACACAAATTCTATTTCCCTTTAATATGTATAGTATGTTTCACTCTATCTGTGGACAGGTAGTTAAGTTTAAGGTAGGAAAACTACTGCTTGTAGGGTAGGATCAAAGTTAAATTTAAGGTATGAACTGCTACATTGTATTGAATAACATTTAGCTAACGTTTCACTACATTCAAAAGAGATCCAATTTTTTAGATTACAGAAGAAATCACGGAACCTGAGAACGCGGATTAGGGAGGATCAGTTTAGGACATTGATAAATGGTTCATCTGATCTGATAGGCTCTGTAAATTAGGTGAACTTCTCGAGGAAATTTAGTTCTTTTCTCTAGACCGTTTTGGCTACTTATTTTCAGTTTGTCTGATCCGACAAGTATGTATGTGTTTCAACTGTTCCAACGTCTCACTGGAGTCAGCAGCACAAACCTGTTTGCGGTCAAGTATATTGACATTTTGGCCCAGCTGACTGACAAAAACTTAATATTTGTGCAAAATTCAGTACCAGTCGTGAAACGTTTATTATTGATAGGTACGCAACTCACAAAAAACAGTGGCACATCACATGCTCTCAACGAATCTTTGAAACCTAAACTCGAGGATGAAAAGCAATTTTGCCAGTAAAGAACGCATTATTTTCCTAGTTGTGCACGTGGCTCTCATCTTTTTTGTGTGTAAAATATTTACATATCAGGTGATAAAGGGGAGAAACCGATAATATGACTCAAATTTGGGGTGTCCGAGTTAATAACACGAAATTCTTTAAAGTAGAGAATGTAAAAGGAAGACATTCATCTTTCGTTCTAACTAATAATGATAGTGGACCTGAGTTGTGGGCAGTCAATATTGTCTCTCAGCAATCCCCAGATGAGACAGTTAGAACCTGTCGATTGCTTACGCCGAAGAAACGAATCAATGCTTCACATCAACTGTGAACTGTCAAATTTCCTGTCATCGTGTCGAAGAATATATCTCCCATCAGTCGTTCTGTTCACCACCGACAGAGCGCTAAAATGGTTTGAAACGTGATTTATCAAAGGGTATGTGAAAGCAATAAAATGTTAATAAAAGACTAGATAGAGCTTGCTGTCGAAACCCCCTTGTGGTCACACCCCGTTCTTGATTTACACAAATTCTATTTCCCTTTAATATGTATAGTATGTTTCACTCTATCTGTGGACAGTTGATTCACATACTTTGTTAACTGATCAATATTTTGCTGATAGGTACATATCAAACCGTACAGCTTGGACGATTATCTTTAAATCTCTCAATTTGTAGCTGAATCCTCAGCGCTGAATGGGTGATTGATATAATATTGACCGACAGGTAGTGAAAATTCATTCATTGTGCAAGAGCAGCGTTCCAACATTTCTCCTACAAAGCTATACGGAGAATCTGAGAAGCTGTGTGGGAAATTAAGTGTTATGCGACGTTTTTTTCAAAGTCTGTCTTTTTCGTTTTCTAGGAAATCAGATTAACTATGGGGTACCTCAAAAACAAAGAGCTTTACGCAAGTGTCTCCTTAAACTGAACTTATTTGCAATACTGCAAGCAGCAAGGTTAGGCCTTCTTGGGCATATTTCTTTAAGATAAAGTTTTGTTCAAAGCGGACATCCAGTAGACCAGCTGCCTATGTTGACCGACTATTGTTTACTGACATTATTCGGACACTGACAAAGGTACACCAAAGGACGTTGAGTAACCTTTTACCCGTTACGTGAACAATGTTCCGTCGCTCATTGTCTCTAAAAGAAGAGTTGGGCTAAATTAAATGATCTGTCTTTTGTTGCCAGTCGTCATTCTTTAGACTGGACATCAGATCGATACAACATTAGTGTTTAGTTTTTAACGCTTTATTACGGTAAGCAGTTCAAATATCTTTGCAAGGGAAAACAGCTGATTTTGGATTCATATTACATCTATATGAATGGGTGGTAGAACGGGTGGTATTCATGGCTGAAACTGTGGTAATTTTAGCCTGCTAGCAACCGTGAGGCTACTGGCTTCTGGTGCCACAATTTACTGACCTACTTGGTCAGTTAGTCGACGAAACGATTTAACTGATCATGTTTATTATTTTGGTGAGGAGATCTCGGATTCAGCGAGTCGTCTGAACTAAAGATTTCTTCATTAGATGATACTTGAAAAGCGTTGGCATCACACTGCACCACACTGTACTAAGAAATTGAATCCTTGTTGTTGACGCTCACTTCAAGGTATGTTTCAGCGCATCGGCAGAAAATCAGTGAAAACAAGACGAAAGACAAAGATGGGCTTTATGGCACCGGCAAGCGTGATTGACTGCAAAGGTGCCTCGTATGAATGTGAGACCTTGCGTTCGCATAACCTCGCCTTGTCCTAGCGCAGTAATTCTTGTGGGCCCACACAGCGGAGGCGGGGAAACCACTAACCGTACAGTTTTTCTCGAGTTGTTTGGAGTGTGTTTACTCCGAAAACGGAATAGGATCATCAACAAAGTTAATTCTGGGAATTTGTTTTAAATCATCATTCAGATTTACGCATACAGGAAGTGCTGAGACCATCTGGTTCACTTCCGACAAGACGTTATCTAGTATTGGCGGAATTCGTACTTCATTGATGATTCGTGAATCTGTAAAACCTGAACTCACACTGCTGACGCTTTAGAAGTACCTTTTTTGCCACAACGGCATCATTCTGGTTAGTCCCCATTAGAGGAAAGGAGCAATGAGCCTCAGCTTCGTGTTCACCAGAGGCCATTATCAGTGTACATTGTCTCGGGATAGGAAGCTCTGACATGCGATTTGCGTGTACTAGAATCACTCTATCAGTCACAATGTGAAATCTACTACAGCCATCCAAAAATAAGTGAAAATTAGCCGGTAGGATAACAGTGCCTGGTTGGGGAGTCCTGAATTGAAAGGTCGAGTGACTAACTCACTCAGGACATTTCCTAGTTGACCACTCTTTGAGACAAACAAATTATATCGGGCAAGCGCGGACAATTTCGTCTGTTTGGGCGTGATAATTCAATGGCAACCAGCTTGCGATGATGTTGGACTAGCGGTAAATTGCACAACTTTCATTCCTCTTTCGCGCGGTTTCCATCCCGCCACTGCGAGAAATTCGTACTGTTGATGTGTTCCAGTTAGAGCGAACATCAAGTCCACTGCGTGCCCTCTTCTCTGTGGGTCAACTAGGACAAATGTTGCAGAGGAGGACCGTTCAACAACGACAATTTTAATGCAGTACTAATTCTTCCAAACGTAATAATTCAACGTGGTATTGCTTTTTGGCTTTTTATCAACAAATTATTCACTTTTCACTCCAAAAATGTGAGAAAATTTCCTATGATCGTTCCTAAAGAATTTCCGGTTCATCAGTAGCACGTGAACTTATTTCAAACAGGTATTTCTTAACACTTACTCAGTTAAGTAGGTTTTCCGGTACGGAAATTAAACAAGCTTATTTCAAGCGGCTGAATATACCCGTTGTAGTCATGAGAACGAAGGAGGTAGCGAACAAAGCTTGTTTTCTGTGACTGTTCACCTTGGCTAGTACATCACAAATTTATATGGTAGCAGAAATCACGTGGAAAAGGTTAAGATCGGGGCTAAATACACTTTAGAGAAATAGAAGTCAAAGGAAGGGAGGTTGGGTGAGGAGTAGGTCAATGGGTCACGGAGTCAACTCAGTGACGTCAATGTCAGACAGAATTGTGGGACCAGATGTTTCGTGGGCCAGTTCAAGTTCAGAGGTCGCACAAGTTTCTTTTGGATGCAAAATTGTGAATCCAGCGGTCAGAGGTCGCACAAGGTTCTTTTGGATGCAAAGTTTTGAATCCAGCAGTCGGATTCCTATCGCCTCTGCGATCGATAGTAGTCTGGATCTTACCAGTCGTGACCCGTTCAGAGGTGCCCGGTATATGATGGTGAAGGCTTGCTCCTTGTCTATGACATGACGGATTTCGGTCAAGTGTGCCGCAATTGCGCTTGGGCCTGGTTTCTTTCCACTACCACTCAGAGATACGGGATTGTGTTCTCGTATTCTGTCCGACAAATGCCTTATCGTACGACCAACGTATGATTCTCGGCATGAGCATACGAATGAGTGCACACAAAAGCTGGTGGTAGAACGTGGCAATCTGTCTTTCAAGCAGAATACGATAGTGAGGCTGGAGTTGAAGCTCAAACGTAGATTAGCGGCCAAGTATGTCGTATCCACGGAGTTTCTAAGCCTTATGGTGATTAGTTCGGCAACCGAGTCACCTTTGGATGGAAGCCTCATGTATACGGGCTTCTCCCTACAGAACACTCAGTAGTTTTGGGTTTAACGGCCTCCAAGGTCTTGAGTACGAACCTTTCAGGATATCCGTTCTGCAGGAATGTACGTTCCAAGATCTTCAGCTCCTCTTCTAAGCATTCGGGTGAGCATATCTTCATTGCTATCTCGGTCAGGCATCTAATTAGGTTGCGTTTTTGTTGCAACGGAACGAAGCTATCAAAGTGAATATACTGACCTTTCCACGTTTGCTTTCTGTGGATCTTACGTTCTATGGTCCCGTCGGCCTTCTCTTCAACATTGACACCGAGAAAGCTCAACTGTCCGTTTCGTTCTGATTCGATAGTAACCTTGATATTAGCATGGACTGAATTGAAAACTGCTTAGTACGCCTGTTGTGCTGATGGTTTCATCGGCAAGAACGAAAATGTCGTCCACGTAGAGGCGATATAATGATAACCGTCCAATGAGTGCATCTAATTTTTGAGTCTCTAGCTTGGTGCTTCTTCAGTCTGCCAATATGGGGCCTAGAATCTTGTTTCACTTTGCATACTACGTAAGTTTTCCATCCAAAACAAGTGTTGAGAATCTTGCGCGTGATCTGGGATGCAACATCAATCTGCATATCCGGACCTGAGGAAGAAACAAACCTGTGACGCATACTAAAAAGAATGTGAAGAGGAAATGTGTTTTTAGCGCACTTTTTGAAACATCCGAGTGAGTTTCCAAGTTTTTGCGACATTTCTCAAAGAACCTTGTTCAAGGGAATAAATGTAGACCGCTGTTTTGCTCGAAGATGCGTGTTTCACGAAAATGTGCTATACTTTCGACCACCATATTGACTCAACATTGCGCGAAAGCAAATGCACTCGTGTCCGTAAAACTCAGTACAACGCATTCAAAAACAAATACGGATATACAGAAGGAGGTCACTTATCTCCTTAGTAAGAATAATGACCAAATAGTTGTGATCAGAGGGATTTCTATAGAGTATCCTTTTCTATCGTTAAATAAAGGCGTGAATAGGTTTAGGGCTGTAGAGCAAAACCTGGCATTATCACCATTGATAGGTCTCTCAGTCCAACAGTACCTTAAGCATATCGTTCTGCAGAAGAATGACATCGAGATCCCATTCAATATAGTTCCATCCGTAATAGACTAAAATTTTGTTTGCAGTCGATTTTTTTACTTTTGACCTTACCCGTTCTACAAGTGTTGCGACAAACAATTGTTCAAACTGTGCCCTTGGTCCTGAATAAAGTTTTCCACCGTATCACTTAAAAGGATGTAAATACTTAAAAGAATAAAAAAATTAGTACTACTGAAATGACGCTTGAGTTTTTTTTTCAGGACACACACGAAGCCTGTGCTGAGTAATACTTAATCGTTGCCAAATGTTTCCTTGAAAGCTGGGCTAACAACTAAGTTTTTAAACGACACTTTCAGCTGCCACGTTTTGGTCGAAAACGATCTAATTTGAGGGTGGGGTTTAGGGTAACGTCAAAACTTTGTTTATCCCGTTTATTGATGAATACAGATGGCTACCATGCTAGTAGCAAGGTGCATCAAATGCTAATTTTGTGGTAGTCAAAAGATAATGCTGAATAGTTTGGTCGCAAGGTAACACCAAGTAGTGTTTCAACGGAATATGCTGTTTTTACTTGTTTGATGGTGTCCTTGAGAAAGGCCATTGCAGGCCACTATAGATAGCATAGCGCCTTAATTCGGTGCGCTGCCGTACTTGGTCAGTGTACTATAGATTAAGTTTTACTGGAGTTTTGTCTAATAGAAGTGCCTTGTAGGCGCGTATTCATTTCACCTATAAAGAGGAAGTTAATAAAGGAGATACTGAGCTTTCGGGAAACGAGCTGTCTTGATCCGTTAACTTACTCATTTGTATCATTCAATCCTTAACGTTTTTTGGGAATAAATTCGTGTAAGGGACGTTGAAAATTTCCAAAATAATCGGGAATTATGCGGAGTTTCAACATTTTATTAGGTTTTTCACTTATGACAGTGTTGGTTAAGTAGGATTATGGTGGCACCTCAACATTTGAACGACAACCGGTTGACAAACAAATGCTTTCTGGAGGATTTCTGGGATTAAATTCTATGAAACTCACGGACAAGATGCCGATGCATCCAGTAACACGCAGAACAGAAGCACTGTTCATACGATGATGGATTTTCTAGCAGTTTTCGAGCGTCGGCGGCGCTGAGTAACTGCGATGTCCTGACTGATGGTTCAAGCGATCGACCCGGTCAGTTACACGGTGTCCCTCCGAGGCGTTAGACAAACCAGTCATAACTCTCAACCGTAAACAGTCTCACCACATCGGACGTAGTAATTCACTCAAACGGCTCAAACCCCGGGACGACCAAGAATATGTACTACTGATAGGGACTAATAAGAGAGGAATTCTAGATCAATGCTTCCCACTTTGGTGCGAATTCATAAAAAGGTGATGTAAGCGTGAATATCTAGAATGAGCTTCTTTTAAAACTGACGAGTTTTACTGATACACCTCCTCTGGAGGGCGCGCAGAATGCTAGTTCTTCGAAAAAGTTGTTCTAAAGGTGAAAAAAAACATATTTGCATCAACGCTAGAATTAAAGACTCCTTGCATTCAGAGGTTAAAATGAAGTCCTGTTAACCTACTCCAAACAGATTTGATGCTAGTTGACCAGAAATCAGAGCTGTAACCTCAGCTAAGCTTCGCTCAGTGGTAGATGGTGTTTTGTTCATGATTCTATACAGCACGGGCTTCAAATGCATTCAACCAGGCTCGAAATATGACCGGACCGTCTTGGACATTTGCTCACGCTTACAATCCTTACACCAATGGTATAACGCAAGCCATGCTTCCGGGAGTTACCACCCGAAATCTACCAGCAAGGCGCTGTACACACCGGCGGATGAATAATTTAGATATTTTTCATAGAAACAAAGTACGTCACCGATAAATCCAAACATATAAGAAATATGGAATCAGTGGCCACGCATCTGCTTAATGCGAACGTTTCTTCAGTGATTCAGGGGTCAATCAGAGATCTTGCAGTGATCTAACTCATATGGGAGTAGTTAATCAAACTGTCGTGTGCCCCGGTTAGTTACCCTATGGACTTTTCGTCAAGGAAACATTTTTCATACCTGGCCGCATCCTGGCTCCTCAGTCCGCGCCAGACTTTTGATGGTTGTAAGGTTAGTGAGAAACTTAGCGCAATATTCGGTCACTTACAAATTCGTTCGTCTCACAGCCAAAAGATCATTTCAGCTCTTCTGGAATCTTTCAAAATGGGTGAATTGTTGTTCAAACTTGGGTTGTCTAAATGTACTTCTTCTTGGTCTCAGTTGGCGCAATAGCACCCGATGGTATTTCCTTTCGATTTGCCTAAATTCGTAAATGCACAATAGAGAGGTGGTGAACATTGCAGACCTCATGTTTTGGCAAAATCAGATCTCGTTACACACGAAATTCACTCCGACTCAACCGCACATTACGACATAATTCGATAGCAGACTGAATAGCCCAGACGATGTACTGGAATCAGGTCAGCAGGGACAATTTACACAAAGGGTTCTTGTCAATCAATCAATCAAAACTCTATTTGGCTAGAACTGTGTTGAATAGATTTATTATAATAACCGTNTTACACAAAGGGTCTTGTCAATAAAACAATCAATCAAAACTCTATTTGGCTAGAACTGTGTTGAATAGATTTATTATAATAACCGTTTCGAACTAAGTGGCTAATTCGGAATACAACCAAAAACTCGAACAGCTGGTCGAAATGCCTACAAGCAACATTATATCTGTCACTCCATGATATCTGCTCGCACGTGCGCGTCTGAACTGGTAATCAACGGGATCTTAACTCTCTACTTTATCAAAGGACTTGGGCGGGTTTTACTCAGTTATCTTGATAAGCTCTACTTTGCTCTATGGCTGTCTATAGAAAAAAATCAATCTATTGGAAGACAGCAACGAATAAAGAATATCGCACGCAGTTGAGAGCAAATAATCAGTAAACAAAACGAAGTAAGTCGAGTCGTGGTAGGTTGCGCAGACTTGCCCAAGCGGTAAACTTAGGTGGAAAGGAAGGAAGGAAGGCGTGTGAAGGACACACGTCCTCTCAGTCACTTAGCTGTACAGTACCAAAAAGCGAGGCCTTTTCTCCTGTCATCGGTTGCTCTGTGTGAAAGCAATTGAGAGCAGTGGTCTCGTCTTCGTTTTCTTGTTCAGCCAACTGTGACAGTAGATAGTTGAACTGTTTCATATGCAACAGGCCTGTAATCCTGCGTTCGAATCGTTTGCGCTTGCTCACCTACAACTATTCCATCAGAACCATTTATAGATGTGTCTATTTGCTGAATTTTAGAATTCGCAATAGAGATGTTGCCTGTAGTGTCGTGTTACCAAGTTGTAGGAAAAACTGGTTACTCATACTCAACCGAGTTCTCTGTCATTCAGTTATATCTGACTTAATCCTCTAGACTGTTACAAGGTGCATCACATCCAGAAATGTTCGCTCAGTCACTGTAAATGTTGTGCCACAAAAACTATCCGGGGGAAAACACTCATACTCAACCGAGTTCCTCTGTCATTAGTTATATCTGACTTAATCCTCTAGACTGTTACAAGGTGCATTACATCCAGAAATGTTCGCTCAGTCTCTGTAAATGTTGTGCCACAAAAACTATCCGGGGGAAAACGCCCTTTTTTATTTCATCGAACTTCAGCTGCCTAATATTTTCTCTCATTTCAGAATTGAAAGAACCACAACTGCCGGAAGAGAGAGAGCTGGAATGAGACAAATGATATTCTTAGAAGCCGCACCCACTGCCAATTGTGATCCAAGCAGCATTTGAGAGTGGAGTTTTATCAGATGCAGAAGAACTGCTCAACTAAAACCTCAAAATTTCGCAGCATGAAAATCGACCGCATGCTTCAGCATGAAAATGCGGTGAAAAAGCGGGAAGTACAAGTTCTTTTAGTTGGTATGTCCGAAATTTTCATCACGTTGTGAATTGAAGCGATTCCCACCTGTATGAACGTAACGCTATTCAAAGGGTTCAGTAGCTTAGCTGGTAGAATAACCGCCAGGCTAGGAAAAGGTCGAGGTTTCGCTCTCATGTGGGCCTTTACATTCCTACTCCTTATGCAGAGACTTCTGATTTCGTAATTCAGTAACCCCCTTCTATTTTTGTCTGTCTGAAAAAAGAACCCTTTGGGATTTTGGAAATGTAGACAACTTGCTCACTGCGAAAGTCGTACAGACTTAGTCCGCTGAGAATCATGTATGCAGTTGAAGTGACAAATGTGACCCGGGTTAATATACTCGTGGGCAAAAACTATGGAGTGCTCGACCAGAGGGCTCGAGAATCATGGTTCGACAAAACTCTTGGGTTACAGTTCAACTCCACTAGCGGCTATTCTGTTTTATTCTTTCTGTGCCTGGTTTTCTAGTGTTAAACTTCACGAAATCTACGTTTATAACATGTCATCCTTTTGTGTGTGTTTGTGAGAGATACGGAATGACTTGATTTTGAACCGGGGTAGTGAAATAATAATCTGACTGACGAATGCTCCAAGTTGGATTTATTTTGTCAAAGGGGGAAATAAACAGAAGGGTTTCTGCTCTGGCAAGCAGGTTTTAAAACTTCAACAAAACAGCGGTCTTTTGGAGGTAGATGAGAAGGTTTGGTTCTTACGTTCTAAATGCACACTAAGCAAGCCGTGTATAAACAGGGAAATTTTCTCTTATATGGTAGGCATTGATCTTAAAGATTATGTCAGATAAATGCCCTGAACCAACTCTGGTGTGAATGATAAACTGTTGTATAATTGTTTTATTACAACAACCCTAAGTTACTTCCAACTCTAAAATGAGTAGCTTATTACAATAACGCTCTCCTTCTCAAAAAGTGTAGGAAGTCCCCAACCAAAGGTACCGATTTCGTCTTTGGAACGTTCTTTCAGTGCTTCGATAGCATGGCGAACTTCACTTCCTAGGATTCGTACATTATGTTGCAATGGCGATGCCAATCATGGGGAGAGGGTAGACAAAGATCAGATGATCTTTGTACCACAGCAAATTGAATTAAAAGGCGCTCGGAGGAACACCACTCGTTAGAGCAGTAAACCCCCCCTTTCAGGAGTCCACACCTTCATAGATGGCAAGGATGCCATATTGTTTTGTCGAATATAGGACACCTAACAAAAGGCATGTCCGTAAAAATGACACTGATTCTCCAAAGGCTGACTGTGTCCACTGGTGCATTACGCACTAGACTGTCAACGATATCATCGTTGACATTTCCCGCTCCACCGTATGCAACCCCTCGTGCTTTCCTCCTTTCGTCATTAAGTTGGCTTAACGGTCAACCGGTTTGTGGATAGTAGTTCTGGCTCAAAGATCCAAGGTTAACTGCTTGAATATAGCAAGTTTCAACGGTTAAAACGGCTTAGGTCCGTGAGAGTGACGCCGATAGTTGAGGAATTAGAAAATGCTCCTTCCGAGAGTTTTAAGGAAAGCCAAGTCATTTCTGAGGTCATAGTAAATTTTACGCGTAAACGTTATTTTGCCTATGTTTGCGTTCGTAGCAAAGCTAAAATATACGCCATGTGTTGTATCGTTTGAAATTTTGATTGCTTTAGCAGGTTTGACTGAATGTCTAACAAGTTTTTCGGAAGGGTCTTTTGAAATGGGTCACTTGTGTCCAAGTACATTTATATCACAATGCAAGGGAATTAGTTCAGCACGCAAACCACATATGGTTACCTAACAAAATGATATTTCGTCCCTAAAGCACCCACGTAAGCGTTACTGGCACGTGCTCACATGTTTGAGAGCAAATATCTAGCAATCATTTATTACAGGGTGACGATCAACTATCAAAGGAAGGATTCTGAAGAACCTATGCTGATTGTCACCCAAATGCGAGTTTAACATAGATTACACTGAAAACTTCTGTCACATAAAACCGGCTTGCTTAGACGCAACTGATATACGCTGCGGGAGCTGTGGATAACCGGAAATCAATCCTCCGCAAGTCTCCAACTTGTTGGGACACATTAGGTGGCTGCAGCATGATTTAAGCGCCTCTTTTTTAGGTTTGAAGTCCACTCTCCTTCTTTCCACCGGAACACGATAACCGCATTCATGCATCAACTAAAACGCCTTTCCCTTGATTCAATAATTGAACCAACACTGTTTCGCACTCTGATCATCAGTGGACACCCAAAACTGTTAACAAAGATTCACGACATGATAATTGTCCCGTCTTGTTTCGCAGTTTTCACGTGTGATAATTACAAGGCCGAATTGCTACATCCGATTGATTGGCCCCAACCAAAACGAAATTTGCGGGGAAGTTGCTTCCACCACTTCGGCTTCATAATTATCACCTGTGAAAATTCAAGGCTTGGAGTTTGGTCATTTTTAGGTCCTTTTCAGGTGCACCGGAAGGTTAGGAAACTTCGATGCATGCAGCTCAGTAGTTTGGATGGGTAATTATCACTGGAAATTTTTCAGATTTTTAGACCAGTGGTGCTTGTCCCAACGAATGTCTGGTGGCCCACTGCGACATTCGCGGTCGCACAATAATGGTTCAGGGAGGTTTGATAAACAATCGGTGGATTTTTTGCTGGGCAACGATTCGCTTTTGACACAAAAGCTTCGTCAGGCCAATTGGGTAAATAGTTTGATTGGGTTTTAAGTCAGTCAGGGAACCAATCCGTGAGATTTCTTATGACTAGCCGACAGGGTCTTCAGTCTGATATTTCTGCTTGTTGGTTAGTGGAGATCACTGACATTTACGACAATTTGGTTAGGGGGAGGGTTTGCCTTCATGATGAACCCGGATTTTTCGTCCTTGCTTCTTCAGTCTAGGACACCTTAATGGAAAATTCCTCTTGTGGTCGTTCACAGATTTCGTTCACCTGTGTTCGTCATAAGGTGCCGAAACAATTGGTTTTGGGGTGGAGTGGGGTGGTTAATTGGATCTAACTCTACTTGGATTTTGTACTTTTAGACCCAGACCATTTCGCTGATAACTGCACGCCACCTCAAGTCATCTTGGCTGATCTAAGATCGCTCCCCACACGTTTGCAAGTTCTACCCCTCTATTCTATTCACTCTGGGAGGCTTGGCGATTTCCACGGCCTCGGCCACCAGTTGCTGTGGTGCGAATCTTAAAATTCCCGTCTCAGAGTGTCCACATTTTCTAAATCTATGCTTGTGTCTAGTACGTGCCCTGCCATCGCCGACTCTTTGACCATCTCTTGGTATTCATCTGCGTTTCTCGATGGTCTGTTAATGTAACGCTTATGTTCCCCGATTCTGGTGTGCAATTCCCTGGCTGCAACTTGCTCAGCTCACGCAATTTAAAACTTGTTTACAGAATATTTTCTATAGGGTTCAGTAATTTTCTTCCTGTTATGTACCGCATAAGGAATGCTAGACTGCGATATTCCAACTACCCTTCCCATCAGCCCTTTACCGTCAGTGGTTGTGGTTGAGACGTGTTTATTCGTTTTTCGTGCATAGCAACATTTTTGGAGCAGCTGAGATGATAAGCTTGCTTAGGAAGAAAGCGCTTGTTGGATTTCCGTCCGTTTTTGCAAGTTTCATCGATCCATTGTTAGTTTAGCCAACGATAACTAGGTTTCTGGAACAGCATTCTCACTCGTGTCAGCTAGCTTCCAACCAACTTGCAACAGATAGGATAGACAATACCCAACCACATTGTTTATCTGATGGGTCTCTGATGAAGCACAATGGAGAATGTAACAACATTAAGTAATATTCCAACTTTATGACGCAAAAATTGGTCTCATTTATGCACGCGTCACCTGTTGCACCGTCGTGTCCCACGTGCATAAGTCACTAAGTCGTAATTACCAAGTTTCGATCAGATCACTAAACGACATTCGCTTAGAAAACAATTCAGACAAAGTTTATATAATATAGTAGGTATATCGCCACACAATAATGTTATGACCAAGGCTAGTGGCACTGACAAATGCATGTGTTCAGTGATTCTGCCTGGTCCGAAGGTGAGAGCATTTGTAACAAACTTAGAAAATGATCAAGTGAAATCAGCAACTGTACACAGCGAGTGAATTTGAACAAATCAAACTGACCTTTGGCTGTGTGGATAAATTTATTTATGCTGGTTATTGAGGATTCACAAACCTCAGTGGACCAATCACATATTAGATGCTTTTTTCTGTAGTCTTCAACGAAATGGCCCCCACAAAACCTCAGATTGGTTAGCGTAATCAGTTTGCAATCTTGTGTCACTGTAAAATCTTCTTCATACCGCTTGTTACCTGTACGCTCAGCAGCCATTTTGGCTTTGCAGGAACTGATATTACAGTAGCAGGTGCTTGTATGGCAGAGTGGTTTGGCCACATTTTTTGGGACTGTATAGCTTTGTACGACTTGAGACGATGTGTGAGCTATGTGTGAGGAATGCCACACGTGAGACGGTACACCTGCCGTTATGGCTGTACCTGTCTTTCGAACCTGTTCATTCGACAATGAGCTGCCATATAAGGAGACACGTCTTTTCATTAGGAATTTACTAATTCAGTATAACAAAGTTGGCATGGTTGTTAGTTCAGATCAAAATTCGTATTGTTCAATGCAGCGCTGCGTTAGATCCCCGTCCATATGACTGTGTTCTCTAGAGATCGCGCCTAACTATAAATCCCGGGAATACCAGATATCCACACAGCCAAATGACTACTGGCAAGTAGGAAGTTTAATCTGATGAGCCGTCAGTCTGTCCTTCTAGCGTAACCAGAACGTTTCAAGTCACGTGGTTGCAATTCTGTTAGTTAAAGAATACTGAAAAACCCACTCACTTAAGCGATTGAGTCTCTATTGAGAGCTGTCATCTGGATACAAAGACCTGTGAAGAAGTTTATACTACCTTGGAGAACTTAGTTGATGAGGTTTATACACGGTGACGAACCGAAGGTAGGAGTTTCCTGGGAGTGCATAACGTTCTACCGCATTTGAAAACGAATCTGAAATTACTGTGGAGTGAAGTTACCACACTCGCAACGCATCACGATGTATTCACTCTTCTGTGGGAACGAAACCGGAATCTCTATGGAAGACACAGCTAGGTGCCTGGCTGAATCGAATTGCATCATTTTCACAAAACCCTTCGGTTTGAGTAAACAAAATGACACTTACCCATCAAAGCGCTTTCAGGAGCAGCCTCTGATGAAATCAAGTGCAATCGAATACGAGACCAGGTATGCTGGTCCAGTCTGTTAAAGTCATCAACCAAAATGCTTAATCTGAGTTGATTTATACACTCGCAGCTCAAAATGCACCTAAAATTCCGAGGCGCCGGAGGTCTGATCGCTTTTTCAGCCTTTAGCTTAGTCCAAAAACCTTCACTTCCCTCCTTGACTATCAGGGACTGTAGGAAACAGTCGGGACACAAAACACTTCGTTGTTGCAGCTGCCAGAATCATACAGATGCTTGCAACGTCTGAAGGTGCACGTCTCAAGATGATCGGCGCTATATGACTGATTTTTCTTCGATCTCTTGGTCATAACAGTTAGCGGCATACGTACACTGGTCTGAATTCCCAATCTGAATGAGTGAATCTTGCTGAGTTCATTCCATGTTCTAACCGCTTCTTCCAATCAGTACACCAGGACGTGAACCACAGGAAACGTTGATACCGTCAGCTCATTGATTAAGAGGTAACCTGTTCCGGGGCCATTGTTATCTCACCATAGTTGAGGCGATTGATGGCTGCATGACAATATCTGCATGTAAGTTGCAATTCCGACGAAGATTAGAAAAGCCTTTCGGACATGAAAATTTTGGCCTCTGGATATGGACCCGTTGGACAAAGGAACGTGTCGACTCATAATGGGGTAGTTACGAATTCTCAGCCAGCTGACTAACCAAAATAAGACAGTGAACGTCCAGTCAGTTTAAAGCATTCTTGAGAGTCATGATATGAGGAAGGAGGTCTGTCAATGGTTCCTGGAATAAAATGAATGGTCATTGTCAGACATGTTCTTCGGGACCGTATTTTTTGTAGATCAGGTCGAATTCAGAGGTCACACAGGGTTCTTCCAGTGAGTGAGTTGTGGGTTAATGCATTCGTATTGATAAGTATCCTGTCGCACCATTCGTGGTAAGTTTAGACTTACCTCGTGTATGAAAGCGAAGCGTTGCTCTTTTTTGTGACATGATTGGTTCCGGCCATATTCGCTACAGTTGCAGCTGAGCTCGGTTTCTGCAAATCACCACCAAATATGTTTACCATTCAAAGGTGAATGGCTGCTGAAACGGTTACCGGATGACTCAGAATCTCCGTTTATCTGTGCTTGAAATGCGGTTCTAGTCCCTGTACCAGCTTCCTTTCGGAGAAGAAATTTCAGAACCCTACCACAAGCTTGTGGGCATATGTCGTGTCAAGTACCATACTTTGGTTGTGAGCTTGTCGGACACGGTTTGAGACATAATTCCGCCTTCCTAAGTATTGGTTAGAAGAAAGCGAGTTCAACAGCGAGACCACTGACAAAGAGTAACGTGATAAACGAGAGGAACTTGTGTGAACTCTGAAATTGAGCTGGACTACGAAAAATCCGGTCCAACAAACAACTTACTCGATCCCATGAACCATTGGTGACCAATCGAAATCAAATTATTTCCACATGTGTATCGTTCTTCCTGACATCAACATATTTTGGAATGCAAACTACACATTTGATTGAATCCAGGAAGCCAGATGATGACTCCCTTCAGCTTCAATGCTTAACTAGTGACTTTTGCTCTCAAAGTGCTTATAAGGATCTACGATTTTTTTAATCAGATTCTTAGTTTGCATTCCGTCAACAGGTAACGAGTAAAACGTTGAATTTGGACCGATGTGCGAATGGAAGCGTGCGCATGTACAGATAATTACTAAAACATCACCTTTCATTATACCGAGATTAGGTTAGACTCTTCGAACCAGTTTTACGAAGTGAAACGTTGGAGGGATAACTTGTGCTTCAACTAATCCCGCCAAAGACGATAGAAACCTTTCACAAGGTGTCCTCACGGTAATAAATGATAGAACGTGCTAGAACATAATGCAACTTGGTACAGCATGCATGATAGAACTTTGTTGGGCACTAAAAGTGAGTAAGAGGGTGTCTTCTCCTAGGTATCGTTGACGAACAATCAGGCTAAAATTCATGTTGGTGGCATTGAACAAAAAGACAGTGATATTCTTTGCGAAATAGATGCAAACAAGCTAAAAAAATTCGGAATGACGCATTCTGTGAATACTTTTTGACAATAGTGAAAAATCGAAGTATTTTTTTAAATGAACTAATTTCAGGTTTGTTCTTATCCTCCATCAACTTTCAACTATTTTTGGAAACGTGCATGATTCCTATCAATTCTTCAGCAACTTACCGTGCTATCGTTGTGAAGTATGTGAGAGTCTTCCATATGATGACCATCGTAAAGTGTCCAGCTATCATCAACCGACATTCCGGCAAGACTAAGATTTTTGAGGCGGTGAGAAAAATAGTACGACATAGGCAAATGTTGCGTCAATCACACCGGAATTCCTGGGTGGTTCCGATCAGTCGTCATACTTAGTTGCTAACTAATTTTTTTCGAGAGACTCGCCTGGAACCCAGCTGAATCTCTCGTTTGTGATGCTCTCAGGCTGTGCACCAGGCCGCCTCATGTTTCAGTCGATACGATATTCGAGATATCGCGATACATGTATACCTTTGTAATGTACTACTCATAAGACTGCTGAAAATCCGCCGACAGCCATGACCGGTTTTGCCCTTTTTGGGGCTCATCGGGTAGGCGTAGTTCCCGGGTTCTCGTCAACCTTATGTTCCACCTGAAACCAAATTGCTTGAAATTAGCGAATATACACTCATTTGCAAACTACCTGATGAGCCCTAAAAAGAGCGAAACCGGTCGTGAGCTGTCGAAGGACTTTCAGCAACCTTATGAGTAGTACATTACAAAGATATACATGATCGCAAACCCGTGTGACTTTCCGGTGTGCCCCATCCTTGGCATGATGGGGGAAGGCAGACTGCGCGTGACCAATTTTGAAATTCATCACGCCGTAGGCAAGCAAGGGCTCATTCTGGTGAGGCACGATAAACTAAAGTTGCATTTGAACTCCACATCCTATGGTGGTCTCTTGTAAGCTCTCTGGTCAATCCCACGAGCCCTTTAATGAGTATAAAAATGTTCTCATTACCTTTACCCTCCAACTGTCTTAGGTCCACCAAATGCTGGAAAGAATACCTTGAGCAAACAAATACGGATCCACTATGGAGATGGATTCCCCGCCGCTGCTCGAAAACAAGTCATCCCGATAATCTTGGCCAACCTCACGGACGCAGTCATACTGGTGCTAAAAAACCTGATGAGCTTGCGAGTTGAATTCGCCGACACAACCACCAAGGTAGTGATTGAAATCAACTCTTTCAATGTATATATATAATTATATAATATATATATATATATATATAAATGATCTTCCAACGGTATTCAACCAAGTTAGTTTGTGTTTTGTGTTTTCCTGTTTCAGGCTAATTAAAATGGAGCATGTCCTGCAGCTTCAGTGGTGAGGATTTTTTTTTCAAAAAAATACTTCACCCTTTTCGATTCTTTTGTTCACCGTTCTTTTGCCCAAATACCTCAAAGTCAGACACAGCCGAACCAAAATATCACACTGCAAAACTACCAGTTCCATTAGACTCGAAGCTCGATCATCCCGCGTTCCACTTTCTAGCGTAGATATAACAGCGGAAACTTCAGCGGATATAAGCATACCGAAAATTCTGGAAGACGAGCATTTGTGCCTCCAGGAATCTCTTTTACGTGTGCTACAACGAAACGAATCGGTTCCACCCTCACTGGTGAAAAAATTTGAACTGTTAGCAGATTCCAATATGGTAGACGAGCTGCGCGAGGCGCTTGTTGATATAAATAAGCTTAGATCCTTGTATTTGAAACTATTTGGCCAGACCAGAGAGTCACTTTCTCACCTGCATCACGATGGTCCACCACCCGTTCCAGAGACCCCACCACCGATGTCTTTCGAAGATGAGCTGCTCAACTGTATGGTTGACTGTAACGGAGATTTCCTCTCAGAAGATGATTCAACAGAGAGGTCATCTCAAACATCGGAAAAAGAATGCGAACCTAAGCCAAACAGCGCAATCTCACCAAAAGAAAAATCGACCCGCAATACAACCGATCGGATAATCTCAAATATCACGGAGAATGCAGTTTCCAACAAAAAATCTGACCGTGATGCTGTACGCAGCAGTCAACTCAAGGTGCCCAGAGAAGAGGTGATTTCCAGCTTACCAAGCCTATCAACCAACAGTGCAGACTCAGTTTCCCATATTTTTGGAGGCTTTTCATTACGAGTCTTGAAAGTTATTCTAAAATTGATAACTGAGCAACCAGAATTCCAAGAAGCCATGCAAAGACGAACCTTTCTGACACCTCCTATCGTCTATGCCGACTTCTAGTAAGTTATACTTACCGACCTCTAGATATCTTGAAGAACGTTTGGACAAACGATTCGTTTACAGCTAGTTGATTTGTGTAGCGATTCTACCCCCAATGTTGCCAGTATTTTGTGTGACCAACTGGTCTTATTTGCCAACCGGTACTTGCCACACAAAGTATGTAGACCACTCAAAGTGCTACGCACATGAAGGCTGTTGTACTGTTGCAGAGGATTTAAAGCCATTGTCCGACAGTGCATTTCGATTCGCCCCTCCACACAAAGCCTCCTAGGAATACAACATAACGGACAAGGTTTCACGTCATGACATCAAGCTGACTCTGTGTGAATACCGTACATCCATTCTGCCTCAGAGGCCGCACACTATGTCCATTGGATCCGCTCATATACCTGTGAACTACGGCTGACTTACAAAAATAAATCATGGGGTTTCTGAATACCTTGTATGATCAGATATTCGTGTGTGTTCAAGCTGGAATAAAACTAACGGATTACCGCTGATCTGGACGTGAAATATAGAAAAGCTCGATAGAAATCAACTGACTGAGTTCACTCCAGAAGATGGATTGTCAGGGTTCATGTTGGGTTCTTTAACACCGTTGATAAGATTCCATAAACTGTGGGAGTGTTTTCATTCCAGCCATTGCTATTGAAAATGAATTTTGCACTATATAGACAACAAAGGAAAGTCCCGTATGAATTAGGGCCCGGCGGAAAATTTTGAACAACACGCATAACTGGGAACTGACAAACGTGCGGTAACTCTCAAGCTGCTAGAAGCCTGTTCCACCCAGTTAATTCTTCTGAACAAATGTTGGCAAACAGTTTGTTTGATTCGCTACTGCAGGTATTTGCCTACTATGACCTGTTGATATGCGTAAACAATCTTGGTTTTAATGACCGATGTGAAGTGAGCGTTTTTTTCGTCTTGAGGGATCTTCAGTTTCCAAACTGTGGCCTAAATGCACTCAGAATCTAGTTTCTGAAGATGTGTGTGAGACATGTTTTATAGAGCTTGATGATAAGATCATAAACTTGGATGCATACAGATGTACCACAAAAGTACATGTAAGTATAATGACGTATTTCCCACGCACCCAAGAGACTCCCTAATCGGAACTTTTATTCGCTGTATACTACCTGATCGAAACCACCGACTTCACTGAATTGGAAACTACTGAAGCTGGATAGAACCATATTGACAAAAACAGGCCATTTGTTGCATCATGCTGCATGTTGAACTTAGCAACCTGTGCTACCGATATCAATATTTTTCACACAAACGGCTAAATAGTACTCTGAGCCCAGCGGAAGCTAATGGCGTGCGAGTCCAGCGAACCTGGAGACCACAACAGATGCGCTTTTGCCGTCAAGAACTCATCAGTTTTACTGGGATGGTGAGACGCATTCTTGTAGTTGTGTACGGACCTGAAGCTTACATAGAAGACCTTCATTGATTTTTTATTTTGGTTACAAGTCCAATCAGGCAAATGCGCGGGAATTCAGTGATAAACTACGAGGAAGTTGACGGGACCTGATGCACAGGGATTGCAGTAGGAGAGAAGCTCCGCTAAGGCTAGTTTGCAGCGTGAGCAGGGAGATTTTATGAGTGGTATATAAATAGCCATTAACTATATTCGTTATCCCAAGTAACATCCAGCGCAAACTTCAGTTTCTCGGTAAACTGTATCTTTTGCATACTGATAAATGGTGGGATACATTCGTATAAGGTTCTTTTGGTAACAACGAGGTCACATTTCCCCAGATGTTCCTACTAGTCTTGAAAAGGTGTGCAATCAGTAATCGGTTTTGTTAAGAACATAGTCCTCCTTGTGTTATACATCACCCACTGTTCAAACGCGTTTGCTGCACGTGATACCTTGGGTAAACTGAACTCAAAGAATAATGTCAGCTTACCCTACAGTATATGTATTGTGCCTTATCACATACATTATCTAGTAAATAACGTGACGTTCTGTAGGATGGTGTGCTCAGTACACTGGCCCATGCCTTGCTCACCGTCATATTTGAAATGGCCTTGTGGCTTACCATTTCAGGTACTTTTGTCATCTACGTGTTCACCGGAACTGAAGAATGAGTAATCCAATGCTGTTTGAAACAAACATACAGGCGAATGGACATCATTATTCCGAAAATACACTCACGCATATCGATTGGGTTTTTACTCAAGTGAATCTGTCGTTTATGATATTCTTCAACCAAAGGTGCTTTACAGGGGCCGCCTCATGTTTCAGTTGGCACCATGCCTTAGATGAAGTAGTATATTTTCATAAATGAAACTACTCACAAGGTTGCTGAAAACTGTCAGGCAGCTCACGACAGGTTTCACCCTTCTTGGGGCTCATCACGTAGGCCTTTGTGCAGCAGATTTAGTCGAGGAATGTCATAAACGAAGGGTTCAATATAGTCTCTCACAAAAACCCATTTGATCTGCAAATGAGTGTAGTCATCAAAATCTGTACAATTTGGGTCGACGTGGAACATGAGGTTGACTGGGGGACTGCGCCTATCTGATGAGCACGAGGATTGGCGAAACCTGTCGTGGGCAGTCAGAGAGTTTTCAGCAACCTTCTGAGGCGATATGTAGATGCCCACGATGGCTATAAAGAGATTGTGTTAGTGTAGCATGGTGAAGACCAGAAAGAAACAGAATAGCTTCAGTAAGCAACAGAAGCAACCCGTTACATACCAAGAAGCTTACCTACACAATGACATGGAATGATTAGGATCTTGGAGGACAGAGCAGTCACGTGATCAGTTTCTCGGAACGTTATGCATCACAGGTACGTGCATCCGCTGACAACACCTAGCAAGATTAGAACGCGGCGGTTTGGAGCGAAGATTGAGGAGAATCTGATGAAAAATGCAGGGCGACGAGTATTGTACTTGTTACAGTAAGTGAGCTGTGTTTGGGATTGGCAAGTGGTTTGAAGAGCCGTGAGTGAGTTGGCGGACTGCAAAGTTCTTGGCCTGAGTTTATGAACTGGGGATAGAGAGAAAACTTCGGTGTGAATAGTTTACTCTAAGCCTCTAATCCCAACACAGTGGAGATGACGTCGTAGGAGAAAAGACAGCGGCGATTCCATTGCAGTCGAACCCCGCGTTGTAGCTTGGTGCTCAGTTCCCCTCGCCGCCGCACAGGAACTTTCTCTCTGAGACCAGTGATGGCATTCGTCTGATCTGTAATGGGCCGTTCCAACCGATTACTGTAGACTCCGACGTTGAATTTCACTTGAGTTGATTCATTGTGCAGTCGAAAGTTTTCTTCGGTCCACGTAGAGCCTTATGATCATCATAAACCTTCTCTTCCGTTCGCTCGATCTGAGGAGCGAATTCCTGGAATGTTAGCAAATCATCGGTAACCTCCTCGTCGTTGGCCGATCGGAGCATGGCTATATCATCTTTTAGAAGACCGCTACGTAGATCCTGGAGAACAGGTTGACCAGGATTCTAATAGATGCTTGATGCAGCACTTATGGCTGAGGCGCGCAGCGTGGAATTGAGCAAACAGTGACCATTCACTTCACCATAACCTCCAGTGTTGGATGCAGCGGGTCGCGTCACTGCAATTCCATTGCGGGCCGACAGAGACACCAGGTCATCATTACTGCTGGCAGAGGTGATACGAACGGGGCCAAGTTCTCTCACATGAACGGCGTACCGCAGCGTATTGAACGTATGTTCACAACTCGCCATGCCCAGGTAATCACTGCAATCATACAAGTCCTTGCTCGATTGCCAATAAACGAAGAACCTGAGTTAATTTACCGTCACAAAATGGTAGATTACCTCCTTTACGCCCAGGGTACGAATGCACTCCTTCAAAGCCAACAATCTCTTGTTGATTTCTGCACCCTGCATCCGCGTATGTCGGTCCAAACTGCTTGTGTTATCTGCTAAGTCAATCAGATAAAATTTCCCATAAATTTTGTTACTTCCTTCGCGTTTCAGAATCAACTGGAAAACGCGCAACACCTGCCTGGATTAAATTAACAGGCCAAGTAATATTCAACGCTGTATGATTGTTAGCAAGTTGTGTTCTACCGATACAATTATTTGCTTGAAAGGGTTTTGTAAAACAAGTCCTTGGTCTGACTGCAATCGATTTGCACTCACTATAAACGAAGTGCTCTCAAGGGCCTGCAAGGGAGCCCTGACTGTCACAGTCGGGTCGGTCTTGAGTTCGGTTTACATGCACCGCCTTTTTCTTTTTCATCACCCTTTGCACTTTTGTCCCTTGAGGAAGATTTATGCTCGACGACCAGTGTGAAGCTCACGAGCGGGAGACTGGTAATTCTGTTGGTGTTGCATCATTCCAGATATACTTATTCCATTTAGCAGCTTTATTGAAGTGTACTTTTTTTATTAAATCATAAGCTAAAACGGTATAGTTTATGCCACAATTTATTTTCTCGCGGTTTTTCAGCTTTATCGAGAACGTAGACCGGATTATTCAGGAAGACTACGTTCCAACTCTTCAGGATATACTGGTCATGCGCGAGCCTTCCAAAGCGGTACGAGAAATGCTGACAACGGTTGGATCCACAAACCTTCGGTGAGAGTCTCAAGATATACTATGTTTAATTCAGGGTCACATGAGACTGGAATAGCTTACATTTTCTCAGTCAGTAAAACATACTGTACTCACGTGTCATTTATCATACAGAGACAGTGTTGCTGGATTTCTGTTGGCTAACAACACAAAATGTACCTTGAAATTGTGTAAACTTATGCAGTTATTATGGGACAGTTTGGGTTCGCTAGAGCCATCACCTGACGGAAGCCGGCTCACTACATTCACGAGCTGATATGGGCGGACTTCTTGAAGTCGACGATTGTGATATGGCTGTCGAAGAAATATAAATAAGGATTCGTGATGTCTGCCTGTGGATACTGGTCGATACTGGATGCCCATTCCAGGAAATCAGAATGTTTCTTTGAAATGAAGAACTCTTACAAGCCCCCGCAGAATTCACATTCAACCCCTGCAAAACAGTTTATGTAACTACGTCCATGGATACACACATTTATCAGAGACAGCAGGAAAGATTTTTATGCGGTGGCATTAATAAGCATCAATATTGAGCGTCCGAATCATTTCCAGGTTGAGATCATGCTACGGTATGCTGAACCTAATTTTTCATTGCATTAACCTTGTAGGTACCAGCGGGTCTCGTGTAATGATCCTTGTACATTTATAACATCTTAAAATAACAGTTAGAACATGCGAAGTTCAACTCGACCGACGGCGCTGATTGAGTTTATAAAACCAGAAATGAAGCTACAGAAATTTCCTTTATTGGTTTTTCATTCGAAAAAGTGAACTGGTATGGGTCCCATTACTACAGGTTCAAGAATCATCGTGGTCAAAGTAATGGGGTACCCCAGCAATCATAGTAGCCAACAACAAATATTCTGATGATGTCAGTTGATGACAAGTTCATATTTAACATCGGAATTTACAGTAGCGTTCCAGCAAATCTGATCCTGCGGTATCCTCGCGGATGCTATTTGAGAAGCTGTGCTCCCCGTGTTGGGTATAGAAGCGATATTTGTAAATCACGATGTTCTGATGTTGCGAGAGTCCTGAATCAACCTCAGTTTTTTATTGCATTGTCATTTGACCCCAAGAAATTTAAACTGTTGTCAACCTGCTTGGTCTACGAAACGGATAACTTCAAGCACATCCTCCACTTGGCGGTTTTTCGCAGGTGTTCACTGTTTCAATGAACAGCTGCAGTCTCACAACCTTGATGTCTTCTATGAATGTGAGAAAAAACGCTAGCGACCGTATTATAAGCCAAACTGAAAATTACGCTAAAAAAGGGAAAAGACGACCAGTATACAAAGCAAAATATCTGTAATTGTGCAGAGTTACACGAACCAGAATGATATAGTGACCTTTATTGGTTGTTGATCAGGTGGCTGTTGATCTGTTCGCCGAGCTTGGCAATTGGCTTGCAAACGTTTCGTCACCATTATTTTCATACATGCCGTAATAACGTTGAGTATAAATGAATGGGATACCGTTCACCTGGAACCGTATCCTATAAGTCAAAAGAAACTGTCAGTAAAAACGGCAACTAGCCTGTTGATAGGATGGAAAGATTCAGAAATTTCATTTGAGACTCGTCCTACAATCAGGTTGGATTTAGGTAAAAAAAAGTGACCAAGCACTGCATATCTATTCCATGGTTATTACGATTCATTAAACGTGTGCAACCCAAAAGGCGGACCACCTCAAATGATAGATGAACATTTGATTTGGGGAGTCGATTCTCAAGCCTCTTGTCAACTAATGAGCCATTGATATGAGCCCGGTCATTGAAGATGGAGTAGTCCCATCTTCTTCGAGTTGATCATACTAAATCGCAATAATTCGCTCGGTGTCGAACAGTTCGACAGTTTGAAATTCCCTGGACGAGATGCGCAAAATGCAGGATTGAAACAGCTGCACAGTGCTTTTCTGCTGTTCGGCACAAATCATTTTCACTTAGACGAGCGAATATTGATTGTTGTATTAATTTTACAAAGCTACTTGTTTTTCTCATTTTGTTTTCTTCTAGAGCTGGATGACTACATGCGAAATTTCATCAGCCGGCTACTCAGTTTCATTCACCTTACTTATTCTTTCTCTTGGGGTAATTTTTGAAACAAAGCAGCATCTTTGTGCATTTCACTTCTCTCTCTCTCTCTCCACAGAATCGTTGACCTTGGACTGCAGACCCTCAATTTGCACAGACATTTGCATTACTTCGAATCTGTCAGTGCGGTTTTATTCCTGGTCTCGTTACCCGACTGTCTCAAAAGGTCATATGACTTAAACAGAAAGGTAGGTTAAACAGCCTGATATCAGGTCTGATATAAGATCAGGCCTGATATCAGATCTTGGTTTAGTGCCAACATACTATCTCCTTGAAAAAAATCAGTGAACAACAGAAAATGAGGAGAAAATTTAGATCATTTATTGTTGTCTAGTAGACGCTGTGAACTCAACTTCATTTTACTCTACATCAAATGTTTCATTAACTATTTTCAGAAGCATGCTTGTGTTAGCCCGCAAGAGAGACGTCAAAGTCATAAATATACTGTGCTCATGCAGTTTGACATGTTTTCCATTGAGTCGACGAAAACCGGGCATTTAAAAACTCTGGGAATATAAAGAGGTGTTGAGCGATATATTACCCTAGCTCTTTGAAATAATTACTACACTTATTTGTATAGCATGATTTTGATATTATACTTCTGGTCTGGATGCCTAGTGTTAGTACAACCGAGATAATAACTCATCTAGATGATCGTTTGCACTCCCGGTTGCTCGTTCGTAAAGGAAACTCGAAACAAATGCTTCCACTTGAATAAACCCATCCAGTAACTACTGTCATACATGGTTTCAATATTCTGTGGCGTACGCATGTTACTTTCGATTTTCCAAAGGTGTGCAATTTTGAAAAGCAATGGGTTTTAGGAATTAATAATTTTACACAACAAGAAACTGAGAAACTACGCCAATGGTCAACTTCGGAAAACACTTGCGTGCAGGAGGAAAGTTTGGGCTCAAATAACGGTATAGCGATGCTACCGAGCGTCTTGAAAGCCCCAAATATCGCTGCTGCTGTAAGCAACAGATGGGTGTTACAAGGCCTCTGATCGTTCGGTAGCCGCAATGATATATAAGTTGGTAAAGCTCGTCCAGTTCGTTGGTCACTTGTTGTTGAATCAGCAGGGCTCCATCAAACATGACCTCTAAGTGGGATTCATGCAGCGGGGAGAGAAACGTTCACTGTGCAAAATAACTGATAGTTTGTTAGTTCTGGAGTTTGATGACCACACAGAATTTCAGATCAGACAATGAGAATTAATGAGCAGGCCCACCCAAACTTAGTCCCAGTCAGCCTACATATTACATGGCTCGCTTCCAAGTAAGTCAGCAGCAAGTGAGGCCTCCGGCAAGGACGCCGAAATAATGTAACAACATTCGTCCGCACCGTTGAGTCTGAATACATATCAGATAAATACAGATCTGTAGATTTGGTGCTTTTAAAGCCTATCCAAACAGTGGGACGGCCAAATTCAAACCTGTGGTAGTATATAAGGAACAATTCAGTAAAAACTCTTTTGGATGGCAAGAATTGTTATAGGCCAAGAATTTTATGAACTACCTATTCCGCTCTGTTTCGTTCAAACGGGCTACTCAAACACAAGGGTTGTTTGTCGGCTACTGAAAAAAGACAGCTAGCTTAATTCAACGGGAACATATCTGGATTCCCGTCGCACTATGAATTTCTAGTTTTCAGCTTGACAAAATATTACCAAGCAGACTTCCATTATCTATTCTTAATTAAATATGGGGAAGCAAATTGCTCATTGAACGATTGCCAGATTATTACACGTAAGCTGACGTGAAAAAGATGGCTAGGTATTGGTGTAATACACTACTCATAAGGTTGCTGAAAACTCTTCGATAGCCAACGACCGACTGTGCTCATCCGATAGCCACAGTCCCCATGTTTCCGCCAACCCTACGTTCCGCTTGAACCCAAATTCCACGAAGTTAGCGAAATACACTCATTTGCAGACCAGTTTGGTTTAGCGGGAGACTCACCTGAAACCCAAATGAACTACCCGTCTGTGATATTTTTAAACAACTGAATTTGCTGCACCAGGTAGTGATACACTGTATAGACGTAATGCGCTACTCATAAGGTTGCTGAACACTCATTGACAGCCCACGACCGGCCTCACCCTGTTTGCAGCTCATCAAGTATTCCTCCTCAAAATTGCTTGAAAAATCATAAACGAGAGGTTCAACTTGGTTCAAGGTGAGTCTCCTGAATAACCATATTGGTTTGCAAATGAGCGCATTTCGCTTAGGTTGGTAGTCTTCAACACACGATGCTGATGATGTGTGCCACAGTGTTTCATTACTGCTTCCCGTGGACGGACTGCACGAAACTAACTGTATTATAGCCTTTATTGGAAGCACACCAACTTCTTAGTATTTTTGGTGTAACTATCAAGACTAGCCCCTAGAGAATACTATTACATATAAACTGGCAAATTCCAACATGTTTCGGCATCCATAACGAGGATATCAGAAGCTTTCGACAGAGCTTCACAAGCCCTACAAGTATTGAATTACCATGCTATGGTGAGTGACACACGTCATTGGAATACAACTCAGAAATATAACAATTTTGAGGGGGGAATATCGGTGGATAAAGTAGTGTGGTCAGTCGAAATGCAACCACCGTAGATTCGGTCATCCAATTTTGAAATGATAGATTCTTATCCACTTGTGTCCTTGTGGCGCGAGTTCTGAAAGAGGTCAGGCTCAACGCTGTAATTTGATGTCTAAAACATTCACGACCTTTGTTATTTTTTCAACCCCTCAAACCCAATTAATCACCTCAGTCTGACTCCGAGACATATGGTTAACTGGATGTGTATGGCACCAAAATTAAGTGTGTAAATGTGCCAAAACGAATCCAATCACCAGGTATTTAGCGCCCAGTAAAATTATAACGTAGTTATTATGTGATATACTGAGTCGAAATTACGTGATTTCACCATTTTTCGACGATACTGAATGGTAGTCATATAACTATCACGGCTAACTTTCACTTTTGCTGTTTGCAACTTCGAAGTACGTCATGGCACATTGTAGTTTAGTATTCCAAAGACACCTGATAAAATATGCCCGGTGCAACGATGTCAGTCAGAAAGTGTCACTCCAGATGTTGTCTAATGTTATATATATATATGTATATGTATATATATATACATTGATGGGCACAGCATTAATAGAATGCCCAAAAATTTACAACCGTGTTATTAAGGGTGTCATCTCCTTCACATTCCAAGTTAATCTTACAAGATGTACACAAAAACATCTGTAGTACAATAGTACTACTACACATCAGTTCATATAAACAGCCCTTGTTCCACAAACGCATCCTAGTAACATTGTCTAAATGTTCCCCAACTTCCGTTTCAGGGTGAACTTGAAACGTCCGTTGAATTATTTGAGACGCTGATGTGTTCTCCACATATGCTCAAGAAGGAGTTTGTAGTGTTCTTGAACAAATTGGATTTGATCAGGGAAAAGTTCTCTGATGACGGTCCAAACAATGAACAGGAAGGTGAGATCCCTTTGGCAGATATTTTCTTGTGACCGAACTCCACAATGTTAGGTTGTTGGTCTTTTGGCCGAGCTCGGCAGTCGGATTGCAAACGTTTCATCACCAATCGAGGTGATATCGTCAGTGGAGGGTTGGGTGGGTGAATTCCACCTCTTCTACCTGTGATTATATAGCATCTAAACAGTATCTGGTAGTTCTGGAAACGGCCTTTGCGTAGTTTGATTGGCCTCCTGTGAATCTGACTTGGTCTCAATCTCCTGTATCTGGTTGGGCGCATTCAATTCGGCAGTTCTGTGTGCGGTTGTTTTGTGATTCGGCCGCCTTCTTCTTGCTTTGTTGTGTGAGTGTGTTCCCTTGGTTGGTTGATTCAGCGGCCTTCTGTTTTTCAGTGATTGTCTTCCTTTGACCCAATTAGTCGATTGGTTGTCGTTAGGCTTCTTGGCTCAGAGTCCCGTGACTGTGTGGTTCCTTTGCACGTAACGGCTGATAGACTGAGTCAATGTCGATGTGTTTATTGATCGATTTCTGTGTGGAATACAACGCCCCGGCAAATGTTGACGTGAATTTGTTGGCCTCAGAATCGGAAAAGCTAGATGTTAGTTGACCATAAAACCTTTACTGTTAAGGACCAACTAAAGCGTATTCGGTTTGATGCAGTCATGGAATAGCCTAGATTGGTTCTACTTTAAACTCAATCATTAGGACTGTGTTAAATAATACAAACTAATCTCGATTCGTAACAACGCCTATGTGGCACTGTGATGCCGTAGCTTATCGTAAATCTCCTGTCCTCCTGATAACTGAATCAGACAAACAAAAAATTGTCAAACCAACGAGCTGATCACTGATGTTGTCACCTTATCAATTGGATCTAGTACGCGCTTTTCAAAAAATGAGGAATATGCGACGCTGGTTGTTGCCACTTTGTTCCCACTATCACGCATGCTTTGCCTTGAGAAATTGAAAATATTCGCCCGAGTGGTTGTTTGACATGCTGTTATGCACTCAATCATGCCAACACAGCTCCTTTTTTCGGTATCGATGTTTGGGTGAAATACTCCCAAACGAACCGGTAACTTATTTCATATTTATGCTTAATTTTTTCTTCCTTAACGCTGCTGCAAAAAAAAATCAAATCGGCAGAAACTCTGGCAACCTTTGTAGAAAGCATGAAGGAACGATTCCTGGCGCTAAAACGCAAGCAGGATGCGAAAGGAAGTCACATCAGTATCAATGTGATTTGTGCCTTGGATGTGGATGAAATGAGAGAAGCGATTCGAGAAAGTTTACGTGTGATCTTTGAATACAATCGAAAACGTCATGTACTACTGTAATTTTGTTGCAGCTTGTGGCGAAATGTGCAAAATTTTATACTTGGACTGTCGCATCTGTGATTTACCTACCAGATATATTTACTTTCTTCAAAGTTGGTTATCTTCATATGACAATATGTTTCTGGATGTTGCAATGTGATACTTCATTACAGAAAAGAAAATTCGAATGATGCCTAAATCAATATGGACGCATCTAGTGGTCCTCTTGTTTCCAATATATGTGGATAGTTTTGTGCAGTCTGGCGGTGCATTTGCAGTTAGAAATATGGGACAATAAGTTTTATAGTTGAGGCGGTCAAACTCCTACGTTAATGGTTATATTGGGCGAATCACAGCAAACACCGCGACACAGACGTACACAGTAAGAATCAAAGTTGTTCGATTCTAAGGGAATTTTCCCAAGCATTGTTTGTTTCATTATCTGCTGAAGGATCATCGCACGTTGAAGTAGTCGAAAATGCTTCAGAGCGCAGACAATTTTGAATTGGCTTATCAGTAGCCAAGCAGTAGGATTATAATTTTGTCTAACAGTACAGAAAAATTGATCACATCCCCCCTGAAAAACCAACCAGTTCACAGCTATTGAACGAATACACTATGAACGCGTTACTGGAGCTCCGCGGGGCATATACTCATCATCTGTTAAAGCAATGCCCCCAAGCTCTACACAGTCAACACATCCGGTTAGCTCGATCCAAGGTAGCCTTAAGTCTCCACCATTCGCGGATTCACAAGCGCTGGAGGACTATGCAAAGTTGCAAACATTCAGTTGGATTTCGGGCTAACAGTAGGATAGCTGCTGTTAAAAATGCATTTTATACACCAGATGAGACATGCACTCGCTGCTAGATCAGACAAAGTTCAAACTCAGCTCATAAACTCTGTTGGTTCGTTCTTGCAAGCAAACACATTCAAGGACCAAGTAGATGGAGGCTTCCTTTATATTAAATAAAAATCTATCCACTCAACGCCATTTTGTAACTCTGCGAGCTTCTAGTATTAAACTCAAAAGACTTCCATTTTTGAGGCAATACTGACGGGATAGAGAATCTGTAGTAGGATGACTGCACCAAGCTGGCCGGGGTAGTTTCTTCTGTATTCCTAACATGTTCCTATTTTGTTTAACTGGGTTCTTGTGAGTTTGCTTGCATATTTCTATGTGTGATAATAACGCAAACAAAAAATATCCTCACGGTGTGGCCAACCTGGAGTTGCGTGAGTTGACCACACTGCTGTTCAGCCGGTCGCAACCGGACGGTTAGGTTTTCAGATTGCTATCAAAGGTTCAAAACTCTATAGAATTATCTGAGACGCGCACTGCTGGCGATTTCCAATAAAGGCGCACCAGCTGTACAGAGCTCCTCGGCTTTTAGCATAGGCTGATATAACCGACAGGAGAAAATATTAGTTGTAAATTAATAATAGAAAGGCGTCTCATAATCAGGGAAGGGGCGCATATGTGAATAATATTTGGCAATGCAGTCCCAAATGATTAGGTTAATCAGCTGATACACTTAAATCGTCAATGGATTTCTACTAAACTGTAGCTTAGAAGAGTCACCGAAACAGATCGAGAAAAGGGAAACCGAAAAAATGGATCATATATAAGGTGCGTTCGAAGTTCATTCTTGTTCAGGGGTTAGCCTACTCCATGTCGAGTCAACACAAAATGTGGCGCTTGTTTGTTGACATGAGATCCGTGCTCTTCTCTGCACGAAGTGCACTCTATCAAGGATAGCAGGTCTACGTTTTCCTTGGAATGTCACGACTGATGAGCCAGAGTGGTGTGATTAGATCACCTCGCAAGTGGCATAAATTTCTCAACGTCCAGAGTATAAACTGTGGTCTGTCTTTTGAAAATGCGTCTTTTTTACAAGGTGCAATGCGAAATGAGGGGTTTCATGGACGAGAATGCCCAATTTTCTATGAATCAGGTGATTTGATCTGCATTTGTGATGCATTCTCCAGTTTGTCAACGTTGTACTTGTCTTTCCGTATTCTGAGGGCGGTGAGACTGGAAGATCTTGTCCAGCTTATTGGTTTATACATCATTCGGGAGTCGGTTGACACGCGTATTTCTAGCCCTCGAGAAAATGAATTTGACGGTAATTTCACTCACACTTTTGGTTGACCAAACCTTGAGATGTGTGCCAATTAGTTCCGGATTACGTTCATCAGGCCCTTATGTTTTTTTGGAAGGCATATGATTCTCGTTCATTTCCAAGATTACGTTCCCAGAGCAATTTACGATCTGCACCAGTTAGAGGAATGGTATCTGACTCCGGAAATGAATGTGTATACCTGGAGATTAACTCAAAAATATGGGATACGAAACAACTGCAAAGGGTATCCATCGGAGGGATGAAGCAGTCACGCTTATTTGATTCAGAAAAATATCAGTCATGTGTAACATTTTGTTCTTTTTGTTGGGGCATGTCAAATAGAGCAAATAGGTAATGTATCAACTGGACATCTAAGAGCAACACAAATACCTGCTTTGTTTGCTTTTCTGACCATCAGCCGTCGGGTATAGGGTGACAAAATGTCGCGTGAATGGCAAAATTGAATTTGTAATCTGAATGTAAAATCAGTCATGTAAAGTCAGCTCAGTGATTTATTAACCACGAACTGTCAATGTCTCCCCGGCTGGGGACGAAACGGACAGGCTTGGCGAACCGATCAACGGTCATTTGATCAATCACCAGTTAAACTGACAACGCAAAACCGGAGATAATCTAATTAGCGGTCTACTACCTAAAGTTGTTGGATCGGTGAAGAAATTGACTCAGCATTAATTGTATAGGATTCATAAATTCCATAAGATGAGAAAAGTAAGAAATTTGAAAGATCTGGGGGGGGGGGGGGGGATTTGCTGAGCAGGGTGGAGCAGGGTGCGGAAGACAAAGTTATTCACTCATAATATGTTGAAATATTGGTAACTTGGGTGAAACATCATCAGTGGGCATTACCCAACTACGCACTGATGATATCTCCCCGTGTGGTGAGGAAACGTTTGCAATGCCAAACTTGATGAACAGACCAACAGCTACCGGATCAACAACCGATGATTTTACTCACTGCTATACCGATGGGTCCATTTGGAAATTCACCTCACCGACTGCTTGCAGATATTGTTTAACCAGGATCATTGAGGGCACCCAGCGGTGGCAGTAATATTTCTTACTCAACTAAGTAGCACGTCATGAGTAAATAAACTACTTGTAAACCACTTATGCCCATTCCACGAATGTAGTTGGAGCTCAAGAATTATGACTACGAGTTATTTATGCAACATGCAAGTTACATTTTCCCTACATCTAGACTTTTATTCCATGATATCATGGAAAACGCAAAATTCAAGAAAGTCTGATGCTTTGTTGAGTAACATANCGATGATTTTACTCACTGCTATACCGATGGGTCCATTTGGAAATTCACCTCACCGACTGCTTGCAGATATTGTTTAACCAGGATCATTGAGGGCACCCAGCGGTGGCAGTAATATTTCTTACTCAACTAAGTAGCACGTCATGAGTAAATAAACTACTTGTAAACCACTTATGCCCATTCCACGAATGTAGTTGGAGCTCAAGTATTATGACCACGAGTTATTTATGCAACATGCAAGTTACATTTTCCCTACATTTAGACTTTTATTCCATGATATCATGGAAAACGCAAAATTCAAGAAAGTCTGATGCTTTGTTGAGTAACATACATAGTGGCAATAAGTACTCGGACAAGAGTGCTCCCCATGTCATGCTCCCCAAAATTTCGACAGATCGATTTCCGCGTTTGTGAATTCTCAGGCAGACTAAAAACGAATGTCTGCTGATCAATCCAGCGGAAGATGTTAAGACAAGGAGTATCACGATCACATTACTTAGCAAGATATATCAATGCGTCCGGTCTTTGTCTGATTAGTTATTCACTCAGTTTATCAACTACTTTGAAATAAGCACGTATGTGAGCAGCCTGTTAGCTGTTTGAGCACATCCGGAACAACTGGGACTGAATAAACATTTTCTGTGACCTTCTTTTCACGAGGACCAGTCTCAAAAGTAGTAAATTGCAATCACTGTTCAATAAATGATAACACATCAGGAAAGAGTCATTTGAGTATTGCATTGTGTCGTTTCGAAAGATAACGTGAGTTTCGTATACCTCGACGGAACACACCACGTATATGGATTTTGAAAATTCCTGTATATCTCCCGATTGCTTTCACCTTTCTTGGAGTTCATCACACAGACACTAAAGGTGTTTGTTGACAGCTGTGAATCTGCATTTGCACTCAAATATATTACGGTGTTCATTTGCATGCATTATCCGATTGAATTGGAAAGCATTGTTTTTTAATACTTGGAAAAACACTACTCAGAAATAAGATTTAAACACCCTGGTAGAAACAGTTATTTTGAACGTTCGTCGAAGAATTTTTGTCTTGATGCTCAGATAATCTTCCTGGCGAATTCTAGTTAGGATCCATATGTGAGATCCCTGCATCGATGTTTTCTGGCTGTGTTGTCAATTTGGGCACAAGCCACACAAATCGATATGCTTCAGCGTTTAAAAAACTTTGTGACACGTCACGCCTGTCGTCGAAAATAAATGATCTGTCAGTGGACCCCACTGGATGTCTTCAGACTCAGTCAAACCGACTTGATCCGCTTAACACGAGGGAAGCAAAAGGTTTTTCGTAGCAGCCCGGAGTGGAAAATTGTGAATATGGCGCATGATAGACAATTAGACGGTTTTGAAATCAGCCTGATCTCTATGAAGCACAGACTGTCAGTCACGCTTAGGCTCCCTCTTTCTCCGTCCGGGTTTGGGATTTTAACTAACACATGCATGATTCTCAATCAATTGGAATAGGTTTGGAACCGGTTGAGAAGTCATCGTTTCACACACTAGTGTGAAGAGGACTTACTGATTGGTTCCCCATCTGTCTTATAATCTGGCCAATTTGGTCACCCGTTCACTTGGCCTGATGA